TAAAACAAAACCATGCTTATTAATTGGTCAAAAATTAGTAAAACAAACGAGAAAATATAGCAAATTGGTAGACTAGACATTAATTGAAAGCGTCCTGCCATTTAAAGTGTGATATGAAATATAATTCATGTAAAAAATTGTTCATTTTAACGGACACGACTTCGAAAATTTTGGCAAAATTATTCAAAACAAAAATTCAAACTCAAAAGTTAAGAAAACTCTCGAAAAGTTAAGCTTCTTAACCAACTCTAATTGTAGAATAAATTCTAAAGTTTAATTATTGTGAACACGAAAATTTTTTATATTTGGCGACACAGTTTTTTTTTAAAGAAATGTATCTCAAACGAAAATTCGGAAATTGTCGTTGCTTAGTTGATAAACAAAATGTTTCAGACGATAAATTTGTCAACAATCACCTTTAGTTCATGTTCTTGTACAATGCAATTTCTTGAACCTTCTGGCTGTATTTATTCCTAGTTTTTAGAATGACATGTTTATTTTTGCACTCGAAATCTGGCTGTAAAGACGCACAATGAAGTCACTCCTTTTTACCGCCATTTTGAGCCTTCGGAAACGTTCGGAACAGCTTCTCATCAAGTTCGCAATACTATTACAGGTAAGGTTGACGCATGCGCAGACGTTTTTCCGCGGTGTTTTAATAAGCATGTTTTTGTTTTAGAAATTGATATTCAAATTCCCCGCCATATTTTCATAATTTGGTGCATGCGCAGACGTTTTTCCGCGGTGTTTGTTGATGCATAACTAAGAAAGGAAATTCAGATCAAGCACCAAATCAGTGTGTGCATCAAACGAAAAATATTACAATGGCATGTATAATAGTCATAATGCATGCATGTTTCAAGGGGATAAACCGATATATAACAACCCAAAAAAATTAAAGAGCTTGTCACGTTGAAAATCCCACCCACCTTGGGCATGCTAATTTGAATTTTGAATTTATTAAATTTGCCAACAACGTACTTACCATGCTGCATACACACAAATATTAAACATTACAAAAGACTCTATTAAACTGGCAGACGTTGGATACAGGACTGGTGTCCCAATTGCTATTGAAAACGTCCCGCCCGATGAGGATCGTTTAGTAAAGACCTTGTGACAGGAATCGAACGTGCGGCTTTGTGATTCCGGTGCGGTGATCAGACCACTGAGTTACCGAGTCCAGTTGCCATTTCATATGATAGTAAATACAAGACAAGACATATTGTGTGTCCATAAAGTCATTAAATTGCAAGCGTTTGTTTGACTGCCGTCCTCACGTTTCCATCGCCCATGTACAAGCTCCCTAATTGGAATAATGTAAATTGTTGAAGATAGTGACTAGTAATGGTGATGTGAACTGTGCTACAAAACTTTCAATCTTGAAATGTTGGTACTACTCTGATTTAAGTAAACAAAGTAATGCCTAAATTCATTCACCACTCATTATTTCGACACTCCAAACTAGCGTCTTCATTGGAGGTGATCTAAAATACAAAAACTAGCTGCATATTCCTGATGGTGATACTTGACTGGTTTATGGAAACGTTAGGTTGTGAATGTAATTTTTTTGGAATTACAATTATTTGTTATGCCTGGTTGATATGAACTCGTTTCCTTTAAATTCGAGCCTGAATACCTGATATATGTTCAGTAGAACAAATGTACTTGCGATCTTGACTTCTAAATATTTCTTTGTTTAGAGATTGCTAATTTCACCTGCAACTTTGAATCTCCTAACAGTTGCCAATGGGCTCAAGATTACAGTGATGATTTCGATTGGACCAGACACCAAGCTTATACAGAATCACATGCCACTGGTCCACATACGGATCATACCAACGGTTCGGGTAAATGTTATATTCTGTTGGTTGAGAGAGATACCATCACTTTCATCACCATCATATTCACCATCGTTATCACTACTACATCAGCGCTACACAATCACCTGTTCACCAGCATTATCGCCACCCATAATTATCAACATCACCACCACAATCATCATCATCACAGATATCACCATCATCATTACCATCAAGTTCTACATCTGCTGACTTTTTATTTAAAAATTCTTGTATTGATTTATTTTTTACTTGAAGTATTATATTTCAATTTTTAAAATGTTTACATTGTTTTACCGAAGATGGATAATTAACAGTTATTCTGCGAAATCGAGTCGTAATTATGAGCTGATAGCCGACGAGATGCGTAGCACCGAGTTGGCTATCTCTCTTATACGACGAGAGTAAGTAGAATAACTGTTTTATTATATTTATATAGACAACTACTGAATTCACAGACTCATCTGTATGGCAATGTTTTGACAGTCAGTTTAGCAATCAACACAACTTGCCCTAAACCTGATAAACCGCTGCTGCTGTTTCTTTAAATAATACTTGAAACATTGCTGAAAACTCGAAATTGTTATATATTTACGGGTTTTAGACAAAAAAGCATGCTTGTTAATTTCACACCTATGAATTGACCTTGTTTTTAGTTCAGTGTAATTTCTTTAAAAAATTATATTCTTCTATTCTGTTCATGTTTTTTAAGTACATTCTTTAACTAGTTTAATAAATATTAAAAATCTATTTGCTAACTTGTGAACAATTGCTGGCAGTATTTTCATTGTATTTTTATTCCTGTTGGTGCTATAAAAAGCCAATAATTTGCTGTTTTCTCGTTCAGAAAACTACGGTAATTTTTGAGCCGCCATCTTGTTTTTTTCTACTGCCAGGATATGAGCTAATATCCTGCTAGTAGAGAGCCAATCAAATTGTACAATAAATCATATCCGGTAATTGTAATAATAATGATTGTTATTATTATCATCATGCCCCATTATCATCAATACCACCTCCACCATTGTTTTCATCACCAACATCATCGTCACCACCATCATAACCATAACCATAACCACCACCGTCATAATCATAACCACCCTCATCATGACCATAACCACCATCATAACTATGACCACCATCATCACAACCATAACCACCACCATTATAAGCATAAACACCACCATCATAAAAAACACCACAACAAACATAAACCATAACCACCATCATCATAACCATATCCACCCTCATCATAACTGTAACCACCCTCATCATAACCACCATCATCATAACCGTAACCACCATCATCATAATCATAACCACCATCACCATAATCATAACCACCATCATCATAACCATATCCACCCTCATCATAACCGTAACCACCCTCATCATAACCGTAACCACCCTCATCATAACCACCATCATCATAACCGTAACCACCATCATCATAATCATAACCACCATCACATAAACCATAACCACCATCATCATAACCATATCCACCCTCATCATAACTGTAACCACCCTCATCATAACCACCATCATCATAACCGTAACCACCATCATCATAATCATAACCACCATCACCATAATCATAACCACCATCATCATAACCATATCCACCCTCATCATAACCGTAACCACCCTCATCATAACCGTAACCACCCTCATCATAACCACCATCATCATAACCGTAACCACCATCATCATAATCATAACCACCATCATCATAATCATAACCACCATCATCATAATCATAACCACCATCATCATAACCATATCCACCCTCATCATAACTGTAACCACCCTCATCATAACCACCATCATCATAACCGTAACCACCATTATCATAATCATAACCACCATCATCATAATCATAACCACCATCATCATAACCATATCCACCCTCATCATAACCGTAACCACCCTCATCATAACCGTAACCACCCTCATCATAACCATCATCATCATAACCGTAACCACCATCATCATAATCATAACCACCATCATCATAACCACAACCACCATCATCATAACCACAACCACCACCGTCATAACCATAACCAGCACCATAACCATCATCATAACCATAACCACCCTCATCATAACCATAACCACCATCATCATAACCATAACCACCATCATCATCATAGCCATAACCACCATCATCATAACCGTAACCACCATCATCATAACCACCATCATCATAACCATAACCACCATCATCATAACCATAACCATCATCATCATAACCATAACCATCATCATCATAACCACCATCATAACCATAACCACCATCATCATAACCATAACCACCATCATCATAACCATAACCATCATCATCATAACCACCATCATCATAACCATAACCACCATCATCATAACCATAACCATCATCATCACAACCATAACCACCACCATCATAACCATAACCACTATCATCATAACCATAACCATCATCATCATAACCATAACCACCATCATCATAACCATAACCACCATCATCATAACCATAACCA